AAAAAAAAAAAAACGGATTCATTCTAGAAGTCGCAAGAGATCCAAAGAGGTTCTTCAAACTGACCCTTGAGCTTATCTCCTCCAACTTCATTGTCCAAGCGCAAACGCCCCATGTCCACCTCCTCATCACCCTCAAGCCACGCTGGCGTCCCATTCTCGTACCCATTCCACGTCAGCCTCCTCAGTCCACTCCCGTCCAATCTCACCACATACAAGTCCCCGTACGGCTGAAACTGATTCGGCAGCGACACCGGCTCAGCAATCACGCCTCCCAAGTTCGCCGTGAACAACAGCCACTCCCCATCCTTACTAAAGCACACGTGGTTAATCCTCTCCCTCTCCACGTCATCTCCCGCCGCGTAGACCCTCCTCAAACCAGAACCGTCCGGTTTGATGACGTAAATGCCGAACACCGCAACATCATCCGGGTTGTGTCTGTTCGATGAGAAAGCAATGAGGTCTCCTTTCGGTGACCAGCTGGGCATTGTATCAATGCACTGGCCCTCCGTTAACCGACGAGCATCACCATTAAACTCGCCGTTAACGGCGTCAATAATGTAGAGGTTCTTGTGGCCGGTCCGACCGGAGCGGAATACCAACGACTTGCCGTCTGGGGAGCACGAAGGGAAGGCGTTGTTCCCTGTGTCCTCTTTAGTCAATATCTTGACATTGCATGGGATCTCCTCTTTATCACCGTCCAGATCAGACGGGTTAAATTCAATTCGTGCAATCTGGACCGTTGTTTTTGCGGACTGGAAGATTGGGCCCAGCGAGGTAAAAATGACGTGTTTCTCTGTGGGGCTCCAGGCGTTGTAGAACGCTGCACGGTCCTTGATCAAATTCCAACACTTTGAGCCGTCGGATTTGACGATCTTGATGCCGGCGTTGGCATCGAAATCGGGATTAAATGCGATGAGATCGCCGTTCGGAGAGAAGGTTGGGAACGAACCGTGAATCCTCAGCATCTGGAGTTGTTTGATTGGAGACGAAACTGGCTCGAGATAAGGAATCGTCGTCTCCCCCCACTGGGTTGACTCACCGCGGAATCGGTGGTACCCGAGAAACTGGGAATTAGGAGAAACAAACGGGTTGTAATGGTGGAAGTTCGGGTTCAGAGTCTCGGTCACCGGACGAAAAGTCTTTGATTCGACATCGAAGAGCTCAATATGCCGGAAATTCTTTTCGGGCCGGCGAGTGGCGACGGCGATTTGCTTGCCGTCGTGGAGAGCGGCCGGAGTGAAGCAGTGGAGCCCGGAGGGAGTGACCCGAGTGGGAGTGATCGGGTACCCGGAAGAAGACTCGAGATCTTGGGAGAAATCGACCCGGAAAATGCTCCACCAGCCGTCGTCATCTTGGCGGTGAAAATAGATGACGGCATCGCCGGACCAGGTGGGCCAGCCACCTCGCTCACAGACGAGTACACGCTTGCTGGGCTGCGATGCTCGGAAGACGACAATATCGGTGTTGAGGTGGTGAAACTCACCGTCCCAAGGACGAGAGCCGTAGGACGCAACGGCGATGAATTGGCCGGAGAGAGAAATGGCGGGACTGTAATCGACGGAGTCAGAAGGAGTCAATCGGGTGGTTTTGGTGTTTTGGTTTTGATCTTCATCCAGGAGGAATGTGGTGGTAGTGGAGTAGAGAGCAGACCAGGACTTGAAGGGTCGATTGGGGTGTTGGTGAGCTGAGATGAAGTAGAGGATGTCGTTTTTGAGGATGGGGCGGTCGTGGAAGAGGCTTCCGGGTTCGGAGTGTAAGAGTTTGGGGGTGGGAAGTCCGGGTCGGGTTAGGTAAATGGCGGGCAACCCGGTTCTCTCGGAGATGAAGACGACAGAGTGGGGATCGTCGTTGGCAAATTGGGCGTTGAAGTTGACGGAAATGCCGTCGGAGAGGCGGTGCTCTGAGGCGAGATTATTGAAGGCGGAGTGGAGGGGGAGTGAGAAAAGGTCGAAGCCGTAGTGGGGCCTGCCAACAGTGGAGAAGACGACAGTGCCTTTGGGGTCGTTCATTGTGATTGGTGAGAGTTGCGAGAGAGTTGAAGATGAAGGTGATGGCTTTAAGGTGGATCGATTTCGTGGATAGAAAGACAGTAGTAGGGGTGGCGGTGGTGGAAGTGGATATGTATGAGATTTTCTGCGTATGAGCTGACGTTTTTTTGACATTACCAGACAAGAAGCACTATATTATGTTATCGGACTAATATTATAAATAAATCATACACAATTGAATTTCTATAAACGAACCCAAAAAAAATTTAAAAAATAACAGCTGGTCTTATTGAATTTAATATTAATTATTAAATTACTTCGATACCCTATTGAGTGTTTTGAGTATTTTTATGAGATTTTAAGTTAGACTTGTTTTAAGAAATTGATGACAGTTTTATAATTTCAAAGAAGTTAAAAGTTTTTTTTGTTACGTTGTAAATGGACTTTGAGTGTGTTTATAAAGTTCATTTTATATAGAGTATTTTTATATTTTGGGCCTCTATATTAAATATAATAGTGAATCTCCCAAAAAAAAATTTGTTTTGGGGGGGGGGGGGGGGGTTTTCGCGGGAGGAGAGGTGTCAAAGGTTAATACTCCTCCAAAAGCAAAAGAGAGAAGAATTTGTCAATGTACTAGTTCAAGAAGACGCTTTCACAAAATTGTACATTAGAAACAATCTGAATTAAAGTAAAAAAAGGAGATGGCATCTCACAAATGACGGGGGCATCTACCAATCAATAGATGGTTTTCAGGAGAAACGCTGGATGGGACGTATTTGACAAACTGTGCGTCTAAGCCATGTTCCTTCATCCACATCAACCTACCCATATCTATAATCTTCTTGCACATAAACCCTAACACAGCCCTTTCAACTGCCTTCATATTTCTCACAATGTCTTCAACTCCATAATCCTCACCGCATTGCTTCTTTTCACTGTCACAACAACATGGTAAGCAACCATCATCAAAAAGAAAAAGAAAAAAAGAAGAAGAGGGAAAGCCATCTAGTGCTTTGGCTATTAACTGTAGATTGAAAAGATAGAAATGTTAGACGTAGGCATTCAGATAAACAAAAGTTCAACATGATTACTTACACAGATTCAAGATGCAATTTGCAATCAGTAACATCTGGGAGATCGGCACCATGATCAGCATCTACAGCCCAACTAGTAAACCAAGTAATTGCATGAAATTCCTCTTTTGTGATTCCCAATTCTAATAGATATTTTTTATCTGCAAGGAAGCCAAATTTTTTTCACCCATTCATCTATGAAAAGATAAATGCACATAACTTAAATGACTTCAACTACTAATTCATAAACTGTATGGTGAGATAAATTGATTACTTATGTAATGCTTCCACTGGCAGAGATGATGGCAACATGTTGCTATAGCTAGACCTCTCAGGTTTGGGTTAACACTCTGCAATTCAGCATTACTTTGATTACGGTGTTCACCAAGGCAACATCTCAAAGTCAGATCTGCATAAAGAACAAAATTTATACAATGTACGAAATATATAAGTTATAATTAAGTTATGTGATTCAGTGAAACAGAAATTCCCACAAGCAACAGTTATTTGTTCTCTGTATGTGTAATGATTATTTTAGGGTATGTTTACGAAAACATATGATCACCTGTTGCAGGCCCACAAAGATGTTTACCAATAGCAAGGTAAGGATCTTCCCGCAATGACTCAACAGCATTCAAGTTTAAATCCTCAACTGCAAATCAAACATTGTAATATCACAAGGTATCCGCCATCTTATGTATGATTTTTTTTTTCTTTTTACCATATAAAAAAGCTATAATTTCTGTCCATGGACACAAATATAGTGTTTGAGACCGACAAACGGTTTTGGCAGCATCTTCCCATATAATTAGCCATAACCATATGTGCATGTAATTTTATGAAATTAAAAGAATAGTGTGCACAACTGATATCTGCCTATTTGCTTGGACGAAGAGACAAAGAGTTGGCTAAAAGTTACAGGAGAAAACTCATGCACTTTCTTTACAAGGTAGTAGAGATAATGAAACTACACAAACTCTTTTCTTACCAGCAAAAATGGAAAAGAAAAAGAAACCTTACTGTCAATTCTCAAACGTTGCAATATCAAGCTCTCTTTCTGCCGCAAGGATCGATCAGCCTAGAAATAGCATCACATGACATACAGAATGAGTGAACTATTAGCCAATCTAGGTCCAAGGAAATGAACATCTTCAAATTTGATTGTATAAAAGTCAAGCAATCTAGCCTTAGGAAAAGATGCATTGAACCAAACTAACCTTTAACTTGTATGATTTTCTTTCAACCAGAAAGACCTTTTTTATCCCATAACAATCTGCCAGCATCTGTGTCAAGTATCCCCTGCCGGCTCCAAACTCAACCACCGCAGGGATACCAGTGCCATCATCATAATCCGCCCTCTCCTTTCCTAGAGAACTATTCAATACACCAAGATCTTCCAAGTTCCCAAGAATGGACACCTGCTGCATAACATGTTTCTCTTGAAATGGCAATTTTCTGCAAACAACGACTTTATCTTACATAATCAAACAACCCCACATCAAGAATGAAATGAACATTCCAGCTCATATATACCTGTCAACCTCTCGTTTAATCCATATTCCACAAGCTTCTGGTACCTTATATGAGTCCTGAATATCCTTGCATATAGATTCATGAACATGCTCAATTTTCTCAATTAATTTATAGAAATCAAGTACAGTCATACTATAAACAGCATTCCTCTTCATTTCTGAAAGAATGTTATCCAAAGACCCCGACTCGGGGTCATTAGAAGATTCCAAATCATCGGCTCCTTTGGGTTTGAATGTTTCTAATTCTTCCTGGTCCTCTTCTTTGCCAGCATTGATACCCTTTTGGTAAAAGGGTTGGAGAGTCAAAGACTGCACTTGTTTGAGTAATGGGCATCTTCTAACATGTCCTTCAAGATTCTCTTTAAGTACAGAGCTATTGAATCACATAAACAATGGAAAGAAAAAAAAAGGTTAAACAATTGAATGCAGAGACCATGCTTAGTGAAAGATTCTAACTTCCAATCAGACAGAAAAGAAGAGAAAGAAGGAGCTTACTGAGAAGGGTCTATTGGACATGGAATCCACGGGCTATCGGACCTGGGTGTGTGGTTGCCACAGAATCTACCATAATTTGGTGTTTTTGTTTGAACAAACTTTGAAAAATCAGAAAGCAAACTAAACCAAAAGAAACAGAGTACAGAGAAAGATGCTGAGCTTACAAAGATTCGTTGAGGGGGATATTTGCACAAAATCTCTTCTTTTTAGGAAGCCAAAATTTGCATCGAATCTCCATTGTTTGCTCTGTTTTTCACTCCTCTCCGCTTCCAGCCCGGCAGTTTGGGGACACCCTAGTCGAGTGATTGAAACTGCCTCTTCCACCTAGAGACAGATGCTGCAACGATTGTCGTATAGCATCAACGGCACGTCGTTTGATTGGACAGTGATGGGCCAAGCCGATTTTGTGAAGCATCAGCCCATTGAAAACACGCCACGTCACTAAAAACCTCCTCCGTCAGGGACATAAAAGTCATTTCCTGTCCAGACCCCAGGGTCCTCAAAACCCTAATCCCCTCCCATCTCTTAAGCGCACATTTGAGAGAGCTGAGAGTTGAAACCCTAGCCGAATCTCCCTCTCTCTGTCTGCGGAGAAAAGATGCAGATCTTCGTCAAAACCCTAACGGGGAAGACTATAACCCTAGAGGTTGAGTCTTCCGACACCATCGACAATGTGAAAGCCAAGATCCAAGACAAGGAGGGCATCCCCCCAGACCAGCAACGTCTCATCTTCGCAGGGAAGCAGCTCGAGGATGGCCGAACCCTAGCTGACTACAATATCCAGAAGGAATCGACTCTGCACCTGGTGCTTCGTCTCCGTGGTGGAGCCAAGAAGCGTAAGAAGAAGACCTACACCAAGCCCAAGAAGATCAAGCACAAGAAGAAGAAGGTCAAGCTCGCCGTCCTGCAGTTCTACAAGGTCGACGATTCTGGAAAGGTCCAGAGGCTCAGGAAGGAGTGCCCCAATGCTGAGTGCGGCGCCGGAACTTTCATGGCCAACCATTTCGACAGGCACTACTGTGGTAAGTGCGGCCTCACCTATGTCTATCAGAAGGCTGGCGGCGACTGAGTCAAACGCACCGTTTTGGGTTCGTTTTTAATATCTCTATGTTAGGGTGCTGAACAATTGGTTAATTTTAAATAATTCTGCTTTAGGATTTGGAACCGTGTTCTTATGGTTTATGCTTTATGTATTTTGATATGGTACTTAGAATTTTAATTTCAATTTTGGAGTTCAATGGTTAGCTATTATTATTTATAATTTTGTTATATTTATTTTTCCTGTGATTTGATGTGCTTTTTGTTGTATGGATGAACTCAATCGTTCTTATCCAGTAGGTGGAATTTGGTTTCTGATTTTTTCTATTGACACAATTTCCGGATGGAATTTTTTGCTTAACAAACTTCACATGTGTTGATTTCCATCAACTCTCGACATTCCCAATTTGATGTGGGTTCTCCATTCCCCTGTGCCTTTCGAAGTGGTTCTCCAATTATTGGGTGAAATTTCAGTCTGTTCTCTGGTCATACAGCTTAGAACTTGAACATATTTTATATTAGTTGTACGCCTGTGATTTATTCATTTTGTATTGAAATTTGTTTCCTAGAATATTGTCTTTTGTTCGGTTCGGTTCGATGTTTGTTATTTTGACCATCAAATTGAGTTTTTAGTTGCTTCTGCTGGTAAACTTATTTGCTGCTGATGCGGTTGCATTGATGCACAGGATATAAACTGCCATTAATGTGCCCCGTTTCGGTCACAATTGCAATTAGAAAAGCAATTTCTGTTGGAATTAGTGTTATCTAATCCAGTGTATCAATACAATTTGTAATCATTTCCAAATACTATAGCGGGAATGATGCCTGTTTTGCTTAGTCTCATTGCTCATTTAGCCCTTGTTGAACTCCTTATTTCTGTTCTGATGTCTATAATGTTTCCATGCCGTCCTGCAAAATCACAGTAAATTCTTAAGTATGTGTGGTCAGATTACCTTTTGTCTGCCTAGCCATATCTTAAAGGAAGCATAAGTCAAGTCATGCTTGTTGAAGTAGTTTCTGGTTCTGCATTTTTTATTGGGTTTTTCCTATTTTGCAAGGTAGCATTGGGTTTCTGCATCCTCAAAACTTTAATATGTAATGCCCCCCAAGTTCCATTGCCTTTCAAAAGCCAATGTTGGTTTTGAAAATCTCTAGGTAAAAAGTTATTTGTTTCATGATCATGTCCACAAAGAGTATGCTTCCTTAATTATTGTTGCCAAAGTTAATTGAAACTTTTTTACCATTTAAATGGAAGTTTGTGTTCTATTTTACCAGTCTCCCACCATACCACCATATGTGCATGTCTGCGTCATTGGCCTGAGCTTTTTTGATGCACTCTGTGTTGTATGTGCCTTCTGTGGTTCATTTTCCCTTATTATCTACAAAACTTTTTAAAATTCACGCGTTGAATTGGATTTGAGGATGGGGAAGGATTGTGAATATTTTCTGTTATTGTGGATGTCATTTCTAGCTGCCTGTCTGGTGGGTTGAACAGCCTTTGGACCCGTTAGAATCACCAACTCCATGGCCAATTTTATTCAAACCAGTAACTTGTAATGGTAGATGTCTAGCCCGAGTGACAATTACAAAGAAAAAATGGCAAGCTGCTTAACAATGTGTATAGGTATAGCTTAGCAGTATACAAAATATGGGCGATTAATCCCCAGAAGATTTAGAACAAGTGTCTGCTTATCATCAAATAATCAAAGGATGATAGGCAAATTATAACCTTACCAATGCACGAGGAAACAAGCTTGGGAGCATTGAAATTTTGGCCTTGACGATTAGGGAGTATATCCAAAAACAGGGAATGTGCCATACTGCCAATCCAAAATACCTGTTGTATAGTAGGAATACACATAAAAATTTGGATAAGATTCTTTTTTTATTTAACAAAGATAAAAATAATTGAAGGATATGGCTTAGGCGACATACAATAAAGGTGCCCAAGGTGTATTAAGCTCAAGGAAAGGATATGGCCACCTGCGGGAACAAGGGATCTTAACTTAAGCCAAAACAATTTATGTAAAATTTCTTTCTGAAAACAATAAAAAAAAAGTTTACCATTTAACACCAAAGGCGTGAAGGAGCCATTGGAAAAGAATATAGAGGAAGCCGAAGAGCGCAAAATATGCAAAACCCGACTTAGGAAATGGCTGAAAACAACGTGCAAAGTAGCATCATTAGTTTTGTGCTGTGAAAAACAACATTCAAAACAAAATGGCAGTTTTTTCAAAGACTTACAAGCCTATTGAGAGCGGTATCCCCGATTAGAAAAACAGCATTCACAGCATGTATGGCACCTATCAACTGCCATTGACATCATGTATCATATTCATATGTTAGGAGGAGTCAATCTTCCTGTGTTAGAAGAGAGGAGAAGACGAGCAACTCACCAGGGTCAGTTCGAATTCTATGCTTGTTAGAAATGGTAGTATGAGACACCAAAATACAATGTCTGTTAGCATCACAGCACCTGCACATATCTGATTTCCCAAACATATCTTACTCATATTAGCTTCAAGCCCTCCAACTCGACAGCCATATATGATTCATGTTGGTTTCAGATGACCTACTAATACAGTAATACTATAGCCCTTGTAAATTATAACAAAGCTTGCTTCAAAGATTAAATCTACACTAGAATCAAGGATCAAGGCATTCAGCACTCAAAAAGATGGACAAACCTGATACATAATCTGCATTAGATTTCCAAAGAATCCTGCTCTTTGGCTTATCTCATTTCGAGCTTGGTGGCTTTTCGATTTGACTCTACCCTTCGATTGTTCTTCTCTGTAAGTAGACCTTCCAACCCAACATCCATGTGCAGATATAATTGTTCCCAGCTACACACAAAACAAAAAGCATAAGCAAATGTAAAGCAAGAGATGCTTAATTTGATATTTTTGAAATGGCCAAACTAGTTTGAGTTGATCAACTCTTTCTATGTCATACCGCAAAATATAGCATAACCAACGCAAAAGTCCACCTGCAGCCCAATTTTGCCACAAATATTACACAGCTCTTGATGTTGTTAAATAAAAAGTCTAATAATTTCAACAACTGTGTGTGATGTGAATGAATCAAAGCTCTTACTGGGTGTAGAAAACGAGGGTAAAAAGTCCATATTGGGAGACCATGTCATAGAGCATTTTGGCCATACAAAGGAAGACCAAAGCTCTGTAAAAGAGAAGCCAAAGAGGATCGAGGGATCTCCAGCATGTGCTCCACAAGTCCACAGAATTCAAAGGTTGCTGCTTTGCTTTCTTCACAAATTTCAGAGCTATCACTGCTGGAACGGTAACAATCAGAGCACAAACCAGCACTTGCCATTGAAGCCAGTAGCCAGGGCCTTCTCCTTCTTCACTGCTCATTTCTTTCTGAACAAACCCAGAAAAAGCTGAATCTCAACTCTCAACTCTCAAGTGGGAATTCTGCAAGAAAAAGAGGGAAGATGACTGGATGAAAAATGCCAAGCAATAATGGCCTACCGGGTAGGTAGTTGAAATCGAAATGACCGACTATTTAGCTATTGAGAGGCCAATGGTAAGTGTCGGGGTGGGAAGGCCACCAAGTTGTTCACGGCTCATTACTCACGGACCATATGCCTTGAAATTTTGTTCTTAGTTTGTAATAGCATCCACAGTGAGGAGGTATATAATGGGGTGTATCTTAAATATACAGTCGTTGTGATCAGAATCACTCGTAATGGAGGGTGTAAATGAATGTATAATTATATCACCACCATGATATGTAAATTTAGATTCAATTGTACATCTTTTTTTACGTCTCTTGTAAGTGGGACTTAGCTGAGAAAAGAAGAGGGAAAATGGAAAAAAGTCAGTATAAAAAGGTGGGATCTTGGCTATAGTAATTGCTGAAAAAAATTCACATGCGGGGCAATTTAAATATTATCTTCTCCGAATTTAAATATTTTTGTATGAAATCATATCTTCTCCGAAATTAAATATTTTTAGGTCTATTTGTTTGAAAAAATAAAATTAACCTAATACCCAAAAAAAATAAAATTATAAAGTGAACACAAAATACAAATTTAACACAAAAACAAATTAAGACAAACAAATAAATTATACATATTTAGATTTACATCGTTTCTCATTGAAGCAAAAAATGTATTTACACCCTCCGGAGGTATAAAGGGGATGTAAAAGTAGCTTTACACTCCCGAAAATACACTCCCCACTGTGGATGCTCTAACTGGCTTCTTGTCATTTGGTGTTTTTAAGGACAAACTACAAAAAGATCCTCCACATTGTGTGGTCATTTTCAATTATATACTCAAATACCTGGAAAACCTAATAATTCATCAAAAACACAAAAAGAAAAACTTCTATATATGTCATACTGCCATTGACATTAATGCATGAGTTCATAGACGAAGGGAAGTATTTTCCAATAATAATTAGCTCTTTCTCTTGAAAATAGTCATTCTTATCTAATTGCTCATCATAATTTGACATGTGTATATAAATTTTACTTTTTAAATTTATAAGAGTAATGTGCCTCATCCAATTCTCCTTTAATTTTAGGGATATATTTGTATTCTTGAATAAAATAAAAGTTAAATAGATAAAATCAAAAGGAAAAAAAAAAAGAAAAAAGCTTTATAAAATTTATAATTTTTTTTTAAAAAAAACCTAGGCCCCACCAAGACCTCCACAGTGCTTCGGGTTCCTTTCCAAAATTTTCCATGTAACCCAACCTTAATCCCCAAATTTCTCGACCAAACACCAAATAATCATCCGCAAAAGCAAAAGAAATTCGAGGAATGAAATCCTATTTATAAGAAATAATGAGTTAATGTCACACTGATTTGGAAATGTTTTTTTGAGGACGTAGCCAAGCAAATGTTCATTGTTGAATGTCTGGCTGTGATTGTTAAGGAGAAATTTTTAACTACATGGGTTTCAGTCGTGTCTTTTTGTTAAAAAAAACCCCACGTAGTTCGTGTGTGTATTTGATATTTGGTCAAATTGGAGCAGCGGTGATCGCATTCAAGGGTGGAGAATAAAACAGGAATCATATACTAGTCTAATCATTCGTTGAAAACCATGTGAAGATAAAACATGCTTGGTCTACAAACTTTCTTATTGAAAGACCTAACCTATGTATTTGGAATCTCACTGCTGTGGTGAGATTCCAAATTTCTTTTGAGCAGCACAAGAAAACAAAGAGGATCAGAACATGATTGTTGCAAATTCCAAAAAAGTTCAAATAAGTTAAATAAAGAAGTATGGGATCATATAGCTTCATTGCGACAGGAGAAATTAAAAAAAAAAAAAAAGGGAAGAAGAAGAAGAAGCTATGATTGGTTCAATCCAACTATTTTAATAAGACATTGTAAAATATGTGAATCACAAGTATCCCGAGAGGGACGGAGAAAAGCATTGCCCTCTCTATATACACTAGAAAACAATCAAAATCAAAACCAGTCCCAATTGTATGTAATTCTTCAAATAACCAAGAATAACAAGTGAGCTAGATTGGCCTCACAAAAGCGTGGGGGAACCATTTGGGGAGAAGTGAATACTTTGCTTTTATAATTAGAGCAAAAATCCCATAACAAGGGATGTGAACCACAGCCATACAAAAATACCTGTCAAATCAAAGAAAACATCCATTAGAATTTTATGCTTATAACTTCATCTTGAAGAGAAGTCAAAACAGAGGAGATATATATAACTAGTATACCATAATGGGGCCCATGGTGTATTAAGCTCGAGGAAAGGATATGGCCACCTGAAAATACTCAAGACAATGTTACTAGCTCTTTAATCACAGGTCTATGAGACTCACTGTTTGTTCCACGCCAACTAAAAGTGTGAAAGAGAGAAGATTTTAATTAATTAAGCGTACCATGGGAAACCAAGTGCATGAATGACCCATTGGAAGATGACATAGATGCAGCTCCATAGGACAAAGTACGAAAGCCGGAACCAAGGAAATGGCTGAAAAAAAAGAAGATGGAAGGGACATCAGTAAACTGATAATGAGATAGACATGGTAAAACCAGTTGTACGAGAGCCTGGCTGACATATTGAAATACTCACAAGGCTGTTAAGAGAGGTATCCAGAAGAAGAAAAGCCGCATTCAAAGTATGCATGCAGCACATCAACTGCCAAGTACATATACAAGTTAGTCATCGGTCAATCCATAAGATAGCAACTTTATATTTCATAGATGGTGAATGAAAACATAATTAAGCAACAAATTAGGGGATGTACAAGAATTGGACACATTACAAGAAATAGCTAGACACGCACCGTATTTAGGCCCAGGTGAGCATTTGATAAAAATGGGACGATGACACACCAAAAGACAACGTCTGTGAGGACAACAGCTCCTGCACAAGTCTGTTACCAAGAAATATCAGCTTCTTGGCATATTGCATACCTCCAACAAACGGCATTCATGAAAATTTTCAAAAATCAAGCTAATTCCCAACATTAGGCACAATTGTGATTTGAAATCATTCTGAGGCATTGTAAATATCTAGTAACCTCAATTTGACAACAGTTTGTGAACACACACACGCGCGCACCACACATACCAATGGGAATAGGCTACAAAGTACAAAATCACACACACACACATATACCAATGGGAATAGGTTACAAAGTACAAAATCTGGATCTTGGTTAACTAACCTGGAATGCAATCAGCATAAGATATCCCCAAAATCCTGCTCTATGTTGAATCTCCTCTTGAGCATAGTGGCTTTGCAATTTGATGGTACCGTTAATTCCTTTTTGCCTATAAGTATTAACGATTCCATTATCATCTTCCACATCCCTTATCACAGATTCAGCCCTTGTCCCATTTTCAGAGGGGGGTTTGTTTGTGGACAACCACCAACCATACGCAGACACTATAGTTCCCAGCTATACAGAGAAATTAGCAATGTGTAAAGGCAAAGCAGGATCAGATTTGAAACAGATATGGTCTTGCTAATTTATTAATTCTACAAACCAAACCCAAATTGACTTTATGCACGGTTCATTTTTGTTTCTCTATGTGAAAGTCTCCACACCAGAGCATGTAGGGTATTCATGATACGGATGAACACCAAAATGAGCCAATAAAATGTGTGTTTTGTTACCAAAAGAAAAAGGAAGACAATGTGATGTTGCATAGACTGACATACCGCAAAATAGACCATAACCAACGTAAAAGTCCACCTGCAGATCAACAACATCAAATAAATAATGAAGGAGATCATTAACAGAACATTAACACATATAAGGTTAAATATCATGTTTAATAAGTGGCATAGATCCAGAGGATTGCAATCTAAGGAGAAGAACTTGTATTGAGAATGGACATGCATGGTTTGAAGGTTTAGGTTGAATCAGAAAACTCAAGCTGAAACAATTGCCAAGGAACTCTGAAAGCGTACTATAAAACCAAATTTTAGGCCCATGTTTTATTCATCATGTCAGCAATTACTGCCGCTTATCCACATGTTAATCTTTCCAAGGGATGCTTTAGTATATAAGTGGTGCTTCAATCTTGTTTCAATACAGGGTTGCCCTCATGCACATAATGTGCAGAACGTTGGGTGAGCTTGATGTATCATCCTCTCACATACTTTACCAAATTGGTCATTGGTCTCACCCTTTCAGTTAAAACCCTAACCAGTATTACTGTTTTACTTGTAAAATAAAACGGACTGACCATCAATTTAGTTTCCTAATGGGGGCAGGCACAAAGTAATGAAACAAAACCATGATTATGATCAGCAGAATTAGGAACTTATTTACAGGGTATCTTATTGATTACAGACCATGCTGATAAAATGAATTGTTAAGTCAAATTCCCACAGAAGCCAGAGGGTCCAATACTCTATAGTTGTGATGAATTAGACATATACTGAGAGATCAAGCTATCAAATCATACATCAAGCTATAGACTTGAAATTAATGAGCAAGTCAGAAAATCAAATCTTACTCGGTGTAGTAAATAAAAATGGAAGCATCCCAATCGACAATATCCCAAGTCAAGAACCCAGCAAGGGCCAGAAAGGAGAGAAATCGAATGGCCAAGAGCCAACCTGGGTGGAGCCCTTTCCAGCAACTAGTCCATAGCTGAGAAGTGCTAACATGACCCCTCGGCAGTGCACTCACAAACACCTCACTGTCGGGTCTAGTGACCAGAAGGCTCTCATACAAGGTTGTATCTTCGAATCTTGCAGAAGCGCCTTCCCTCCTCCAAATGACCCATAAAGCACCAAAGAAGGAAACACCAACAATGCCAAAGCACACGAAGTCATACCAATAAACCTCCAGTGCCATGGCTGTTGTTGAAGTGGAAGAAGTTTATTGAAATCTGAGCCTCCAGAAATGAAAACCCAGAATTTCCAATTTGAGATATGAAAGCCCAATGAGACAGACCACCATTGTGTATCTGGAACTTGTTTCAGTTGATCGTTTGATGGAGACGACTAGTAGTTTTGACTGTCAGGTCTGGAAGTACTTTCTGAATGATGATTTGAAATGAGTAGACGGAGAAGGTAGAGGTGGATTTTTGGACACGTTGGACGCTTTGGGAGATTGGTCGGTGACAAAACTAACCTAAAGATACAAAATATAAAAGGTTAATGAATTAAATGGTCTCCTAACTATTGCTCAATTATCATTTTGGTTTACCAACTAAAATTTTCAATTCAAACGTCCTTAAATTTTTTATATTGTACCAAAATCGTCCTTCCGTCAAAGTTTGTGTATTATTTCGTTAAATCGAGAGACAAAACCGTATTTTTAGGTGAGTATCCTCTTCTAAAACGACTTGGCCACTAGTTGGAGAGAGGGTTTTGCTCTGTGTGTTGCTGCTTCTACATCTTCAGCCTCTTCAGGTGGCGCAAAAAGCTCAAACAAAAGGCATTTGGAGAGAAGAACAGGAGTCCAGCAAGGGCAAGCTCAGGGGCCAGTGGGGACCGTGGAAGCTCTGATAGTGAAGGGCCAAAGCTTGTTATGTTCAACAACAAAATCACACTGGCAGAGACAATTGAAGCTACCAGACAATTCGACGAAGAAAATGTGCTCAGCAGAACAAGATATGGTTCAAGGCTTGTTATGCTGATGGTATGGTGTTATCGGTCCACCGCTTTCCAGATGGAGCACTCAATGAAAACTTGTTCAGAAAAGAAGCTGAAGCACTAGGCAGAGTGAAGCACCGGAACTTAACAGTTCTTCGAGGCTATTACGCCGGGCCACCAGACATGAGGCTTCTTGTCTATGACTACATGCCCAAAGGAAATCTCGCTACCCTTTTGCAAGAAGCATCACACCAAGATGGCCACGTCCTCAATTGGCCAATGCGCCACCTTATTGCACTTGGAATTGCTCGTGGCTTGGCCTTCTTACACAGTTCCACAGTGGTTCACGACGATGTGAAGCCCCAAAGCATGCTCTTCGCTGCCGATTTCAAAGCCCATCTGTCCGATTTCGGGCTAGATAAACTCACATTGGCAACCCCAGCTGAGGCCTCAAGCTCAACCACAGTTGGGACATTAGGCTATGTGTCTCCAGAAGCAGTTCTAACAGGAGAAGTCACAAAAGAATCAGATGTTTACAGTTATGGGATCGTTTTGCTTGAGCTCTTGACAGGGAATAGGGCGGTGATGTTTACCCAAGACGAAGACATAGTGAAATGGGTGAAAAAGCAACTCCAAAAAGTCACATATACCCTTCAAAACTCAGTCACGTGGCCATCGTGTGATCGAAAGTGACGGAATTGTCACGGAAGGACGATTTTGGTACAATATAAAAAGTTTAAGGACGTTTGAATTGAAAATTTTAGTTAGTGGACCAAAGTGATAATTGAGCGATAGTTGGAGGACCATTTAGGTCATTAACCCAAATACAAACTATTTAGGTCAAAACTACATTCTCATCATTTTACTGGGGGCAAGGCAACGACTGGGTGAATGAATGTACACGTAACACTTTCCATTTTGACAGTGATGTTTGAAAACTAAATCAAGTTTAATTCTTTTGTGCCCATCTTATCCCTTATTAAAAAATTTCTCGATTCATTTAATCCTATTATAACAGTATTAATGCTGCAATGGTCTTGTAGCTCAATTGATTAACATCATTTAACATTCTACCCGGTGTGTAATTTAAAACTCGTGCTTGTGTATGCATTTTGTTGTCATGACTCATGACACTTAAATAGTAAATCAAATAAAGTTAGAAGAATGCCTAAGAAACTAACAAGGCCTAAGAAATAGCACAGAAACAGAGGGCATAACCATCGTTTGACAACAGCCAAAAAAGGCCCAAAGAGCCTAACCAGCCACCAAATAAAAAAGTAGAACAAACCAAACCAAAGAGAAGAGGCAAGGACTAGGAGCCACCACGAGGCCCAAAGAAGAACCCCTCAGAGGGCTTACAGTCACTGCTCAGAGAGATTGGCAGAAATGGTACAGTTGCTGCTCAGAGAACTAAATTTCTCTACTCTTCTTGCCTTTTGCATTGTAGTTTATAGTAGTAGTAGCTACATTTCCTTGGGACCACATGACATGAATGATGAATGATGAATGATGAAGCATTTGGTCAAAGTGACTCAGATAAGTGTTATATTTTGCTGTATTATGTTATGCATTGTATCATATGCCGCATTTAACTTGACCAGACTATACTTGTTTGTTGTGTCTCCTCTCTGGGTGTGTGGATGGATGGATGCACAAGTTGTCAAGCGGCTCCATCTGTGCTGCTGCTCTGCGGTTCTGGCAAGGATCACATACTCAAAATGTAGTTTTCCCTAATTTTCTATTTCCCTTTTTGGGTGATGAATAAAGCAAACAGACACCTAATAATTGGTACATTACACAGCTGGTTCCGAACATCCCCTACTCTAAATGCTAAGGTTCGGGTTCTCCCTATACCATCTATATCCAAAATAACAGCCACATACGAATGGCTAGTTTCAGCACTAATTGCCCACATTAGCATCTATTGATACATTTAAAGTGCTAAATCTTGTGTAGTGTACAGAATAGATAGACCCCTCAAGTCAAATGGGGTTCATAAAATGATGTCCAAATAATTATAATGGTTTTTGTCAGAAATATACAATACAAACATCGGTTTTCAATGGTTCGACGTACCTACCATAACTATAGCTTCATTTCTTTTCAACTGTACTGTTTTCACTTTCTTTAATTAATTAGAAAACTTAAAGAGTGTATGAACAAGGGGGAGACAAAAGACATGATCGATGGATTTATGAAGTGGAAGCTACAAAAAAAAAAGATCACATTGCAGATTACAAGGAAAGTGCACATGGGAATTACTGCTAACAAAGTTTGACTTTAGAACAGAAAACTCTGTTTAATGTAGAAAAGAAGCGACAACAAAAAATAATAATCAAAATGCCAACCATACGTTAAATAAGTTTGCTCCTTGAGCGACAAGAAGCCACAATTCTAGTTGGCCGAATAAGTATGACCAACCACCGTGAAGCCTCCATCGACAACCAAGTTGTGTCCACTAACATAAGCAGATTCATCACCAGCAAGAAACAGAGCAGCCTCCGCCACATGCCTAGCCTTCAACACAATGCCCTTCAAGTTGGCTATGGCAGAGCAATTAGCCTCCACCTCACTTGGCTGCAAATTGGAAGCTTTGCATGAAAGAGGGGTTGCAACTCCAAATGGGGAAATGCTATTCACTCTGATCCCATGAGCCCCAAGCTCACTGCAAGCTCCTCTCACCAAACCCAACAGAGCATGTTTTGAAGTTGTGTAAGCATGTGGAGATATACCTCCAATAGAAGCTGCCACACTTGTTGTGCATATGATTGAACCATGTACCTTTCGAGCCACCATGGCACGTGCCGCGTGTTTGATTGTTGCAGCAACGCCCCCCACGCTCGCGGCCATGGTGTTGTCAAAGCCTTGAAAGTCAAGGTCTAATATGCCAGTCATTGGACCCAAGACACCTGCATTGCTGAACAAAATGTCTAGGCTGCCATATTTGTCCAACGTGTAGTTCACTGTTTTCTCAACTTGGTTTTCATCTCTTACATCACAGTGGCAATAGCTAACTCTTTCGGAGCCTATTGAGGCGACAACGTGAGGACCCAATTCATCTTGAATGTCAGCAGAAACAACAAAGGCTCCATTTTCTGCAAATAGTCTCACTGCCTCCTCACCAATCCCACCGGCTGCACCTGTGATAAGGACCACCTTGCCCTCCAACCTATAAAATCATAATTGTATATATTTGTTTACATTAAGAGCATGCATTTTGATTAAGGCATGGAATTTGAAGGTGTTTGTGATTGTGAGAGTGAAAAGGAATATGATGTCCAAAATCCAAGTTAACTGATCAAGCACTTGAAATGATGTTACAAGAAAATTAACATTGGAACTCAGCCGGAAGATCTAATAAGGTTGAGATACAAAAAGAAAGATTTTGAATTTCTTACCTTGGCTTAGACATTGGTGAGGTTTCTTTTCCTCTTTATGGGTCTGCTCAAACTTCCAAATAAGTCTCTTGGATCTGCTGTTTATAGTGCCCCATTGGTCTCATACACTATATATAAATAAAAATATATTGATAGGCTGCAGAGCTCAAGGCATAGACATGTGGAAACACAATTATATTAGGGAGACTTTGAAAAAACACAAAGGAGAGAGAAAATTTGTAAAAGAAGCCAAACTAACGCCTAATTGTTATAAATTCTTGAAAAACGTCGAGGCTGTTTTTCCCCTAGCCTTTCTTTGAGTGATTGGGGACCATAGCCTTTAGGCCTCATTTAGAAGGTTGGATTGAACACATGACTAGCATTTTCAACAAGATAAGGGAAAAAACTTGCCTGCAAGATAGGACACCATATACTATACCGGATTGGACTATGAATACAAATAATCTGTCAGGACTTGCCAATTGTTTAAAAGTAACCTTCTAATACACAATACAGATTTTGACTCTCAAGAGTAATTGGAGCCTTCAAAGGTGTTGCTGTGGAGATTCCTGAGACCAAATACATCGTTTGAATTGGTTTAATGACAATGAATATTTTATTTATCTTTATTGTCGTCATGAACTAATTTTTCTTACTAGGGCTACAATGTAGTCTAACCATGAATACTTAATTTTTATAGTTTATATTAATTTCTAGTTTCTATTCCATGTTGAGTATTTGTTATTGTTCTTAATGCTTTGAATATTTAATTGATTTGTTGATCCAGACAGAGACCGAGGGGAGGTGTTTGGCAACTATCTTATAACAAATATCATGTTTTGAATGCATGTCCCAGAGGGACTAAAATGATTCATGCATTTTTCTTGTAGGTTTTCATAGAACTTAATGGGTTCTTGATTTTCTAAATTTTTGGTTGCTCGAGAGAGAATGGGTTGTTAATTGAGAATACTTTTTGTTGAGCTCGATTGGGGATATCGAATGAATTAAGGGTAACCAATTGTCAACATGAGTAGTAATTAGAGTCATAGAAACTGGGGTAGCCAGGGAAATAGCCAGGGAAATAGCCCACCCAATAGCACTCAAATTAGAGTCTCCCTCCCAATAAATTAAATTAATTTAGACTATTCCTTGTATAAAAATAGAATAAAATCTTTCATCTATCACAATAAAGTAGATGATCGATGAATCATGGATAGCCATCAAAACTTTCATTCATGAATTCATCCTTGTGATTCAAGTTGAGACTACCGTATGAAAAGACAAAGGTGGATCAATATGCAATTGAAGTATAAAGTCGGGATAAAAACTGACGTACAGAATGAAATGACATGAAGATTTATAGTATCCAAAGTCTGGCAGATACACACATGAAAGACTGTAGATTGTATAAGCATCCTAAGACATTAGGTTCAAATTTATAAAAATGTAACTCTTGGCATCCTTCATCTCAAATTGAATGGGGGAAAAACACCAAAAAGTATAAATTGTCGATTTAGAATTTAATTCGTGTCCAAAAATGTAGTAGAAACTGATAATCTAGTTGCAAACTGACACCCCAACCGGTCACACCACTTGGTAATTCTCTGTGATCAACTGCGTTCTTTGAGAGAACTTGGGAGGGTTTCCACCTTGCAGAGGTAAAATGTTCACAACCTGCAAAATAAAGTTGACATTGGCAAATTTTATACAAGGTATGAATATGACGCAAATTATGCCAAAACACAAGATTTTCGGGAAAGAATTGAGAAAAAGCTTTGTGGCTAAAAAACCTTCTCAAGTACAATCTACTAACGTAAATGCTACTAGAAAGAAAAGTCAGATGTAAGTTATGGCATAAGATCAGGTTCCAATTTATAAACCGTCAATACCATCAGAGAATAAGTGGCCTATTCATGATAGTGAAAGGAAATTATATGTGGCAGAAGATCTCTAATCAATCTCAGAAGGAAATTATACGGTGCACAAGTTAGTAAGTCTTTTCTAACCTCGGTCAAGAATCAGACTGGCCATTACATGCACCGAAAATAAAAACATTTTTGCTTATTCACGTATGCTATGGAGTCCTTGAGTGGACTGACCACACACCCAAAGACTTCCACATGAAGTTTGAGAATTAGCCATGTTTCAAGTGGACTACAGATATACATAATAAATGGGCAGATAATAAAAACTCTGCGGCCCATCCGTGTTACTGGCGTGTGAAGCAGTGAGTTCTCGCCAGTATGATAGAAGTTAGAGCAATATAATACTTCCCCAATTCCTGAGGTACCTAATAACATGGTAGGCCAAAAAGCC